TGCTTGCTTCGGCCGGAAATGAAAAAGGAATAGTGAAAGAGTCCAAACGAAAAAAGGTCATTATCACGTTGAAAACAGGAGGGTATTATAATATTGCCTTACTTTTATAGATCAAAATCACATATAATGCCTCGAATGATTTTTGATGAAGGTTGTTTTAAACTTTGACAAATTAGCATGAAGTTGGATGGTACCTTATTTGGGGAGTATTTGAAGATGTTTAAAAGTTTCGTTGATAAATAGCCGTTGGAACATGCAGTAATTGTGATCCAATATGCTAAGATCAAAATGTTTCAAGGTATTAGTAACTTAATGCACTACTACGTTCTTCATAATTCTTTTGAATGATTCTAATTAACTATATTCATTTATTGGTCATTTAATATTAATCCATTATCATCTCTTATTCATTTAGAAGTACCCCTTGGTTAAATGTAGGAAATATTATTTTACAAAATGGCATGTTTGGGACCTGTCTATTCTTGAATCCAGAAATGGGACGAGACATGGGTTATCGGATTGCAACTGTTTTTTTTATTAATTTATGTTTGCCTTTTGGAATTTCTTTACTACATGTGTATGTTCTGTATGAAATAGATGATTCATCCAACGAGGACTTAGTATTATTGTACGGAGTATTTCTTTGTGTTGGCTTATAGTTGGAAGATCAAGTCATTGGAAGTAGGAGGTTGACGAGTTTATAGTTTGGCTTCCCTTATCCAGTGTTCAGTGTTTGCAGGAAGACTCTATTGTCAAACAAGGTTCGAACTTTGAAGAATTGCAGGTAGACTAACAGTTCGAGGTGTTAAGAGGATGGCAATGTGACTGAGTTCAATTATCTCAAATGGCAATATTGTTTGCAATGGGACTATGAGATTATGATACTTAGATGTTGGTCTTGATGATTCTCCAAAAATATTGTGGTAGCATCAAATTTAACCCTTTTTGGTGTGGGAAGGTGAGTGTGTAGTAGAGGGAGGAGATGCTGGATCTAGATAATGCTTTGAGTTAAGCATAAACAGGGGGAATCGACAATGGCAGAGCACAAGCTTAAAATTTTTATTGAGTTGGTTATTTAACAAAGGTAAACATTAATATCATTGATTATGGAGTTGGTTGTTTATCTTGGTTGTTTACCTCTCCCTAAATTCTACTCTATGAGAATTTTCTTGGACTATTTTTGTAGTTATATTAATTGTGGTGTTAGGTTGTTAGCATATAAAAGATTTTAGTGATTTATTTGAGTCATTTCCTTAACTTTTTTTGTTGGAGTTAACCAAATTGCGTCATGGTTCTGGGTGTGGGTTTAGGTGGGCAGGATGATCGGTCAGTTTGTGAAGCCAAGGTCTGGCCCCTTTGAAGTAAAGGACAACATGAAGCTGCCAAGTTACAGGAGAGACAATGGTAATGAAGATGCTTTCGATGGAAATCAAGGAATATGGACCCAGGTAATAATTTAACGCCAAAAACAGGTTTGTTAAATGAAGCCTCCTGTATTTTTTTTATTTCCCATTCAACAACTCATGAAGATTGATGAAGAAGGGAGGATCATTGAATTCGCAAGGAAATCAAAAGAGAACAACTAGAATCTATGAAGGTGAAAAAAAATGAGTACTCCATGATTAATAGTAAGTGTAACTAATGGGGTTTTAGTTCTAAACTATTCTATTAAGATTACGAAATATCCATTGAAATACTTTGTTTCATACCACCATTCTAGGTCTTGATGAGGAGGGAGCTAAAAGCATTACATTCCAAGCATGGGAATCTATATAGATAGCAAAGATGTAATGATTAGTTTACTACGAGGTATGTTCCAAGGAGCTAATGATTTTGGAAATAAAGTTACTTTCGGATTGAGAGTATGTGCCTTCCCTCTCTCTCAAAATCATTATGCAAAGTCGTGTTCTGTAACATATATTTGTAGAAGATTTGCAACATATATTTATAGACGCTTTAGTAATGGGAGATATATTGATTAGTGATTCCATTTACTCACTGTCAATACCTGCACGTTCAAGCTTATTTGTTTGATGGGTTACTAGAAAGACATTGATAGAATTGATGCATTTTATAATATGCCAATTTGGGGATTTTAGAGAGACCAATGAAACATTTCAACAGTGTAGACTGATTTCTCAATCAATGCTTTTGCTTGATTTCTTGCTTTTATCTTGAAAAGGCGATTGTTAGATATTTATGAGTTATACACTACTCATTTTATGCAGAATTTTTTTTCTTACTATTAGTACTTTAGAATTAGTGTTTAAAATCTTCCAATGGAAGTCATCTAAATAAAAATTGTTAGAGTGTATCCCACATTGGAAGTCCAAGAGTAAACAATTGGTATATAAATTCTTGAGTTGAACTAAGTAATCGATTAGATTCAATTTTTTAATGTGATTCAACTAAAGTGTCGTATGAATTATTTTTCTATGAACTATTTTTCTAATCAAAATGATTCATAGGAAGTCATTTACTTAAAGATATAAACGTTCTTTTTAAATTTATCTATATTCGGAAAAAATATGCATCTACTTTACTAATATATGTTTGTTTAATTTTATCTAATTTAGATGTTTAATTTATAGATCAAAACTAATTTAAAATTCATCTACATTGATACATTATTGTTACGTTGTAGTGACACATACTTTATCTTTAGGAAATATGTTGCAATTTTTAATATACCACGCATAAAGAGTTATGATTCAATATGAAAAAAATATTCAACATGTTAAGAAAATTTACTTTTAAACAAGTCATTTGTTTCTTTATAAACTACTACTAAAAATATTAAAGATAATACACGAAACCAAATATTGATGACATCTAATAAAAAATATACTCCGCAATTATTAACATTTGTCCAATAATATTTAAAGTGCTTGATTTCTTATTTAATTAACCAAAGGAATAGTTGTTTAAATTGGGTTTCGTGTAATAGTTGTCCAATTAATTTTGTTTTCTTTCAATTTTTCTCATGAGAGTTGTTTCTTATTACAAAATTTTCTCTTTAATTAGGCGAATCGCATTTCTTATTTAATTAACCAAAGGAATAGTTGTTCAAATTTGTCTTCACAAACAAAATAATAAAGTTTTTAGATTAAAGATCTACAATTTCTTAATCTTATCTTATATAGTACTCCGTAGTAATTTTTATTTTGGACTTGAAAAGTAGAGTTGGCCGTTGAAAGATAATGAATGCAAACGGAAAGAAATGAAAGGAGTTAGAAAAAGTTCAAATAAACTAGATGCCATACTTGATTGGAGAAAATATTTTTTCTGGAATATTATTTTTTTAGGGGAAAATGATTTGCATAAAAGTTATCCCCCTGGCCCAAGGTTTTTTCCTAAAACCCAATTTTTTTTATAAAATCCTATTTTTATAAAATGATTTTCTAAAAACTTTTTGCTTTCATTATTTGTTAAGAATGTTTTTATATTAGTTATTGTTGACATTTCATTTGAATAAAATATAAAAATGCTTTAAAATAATTCAAGATTTTAAGGCTACATGTTTTGTTTTTATACGCAATCAATTCCAATTTTTTATTATAAAGCTTAATTTTGTAGGGTTTGGGGATAAGGGACAACGGCGGAGTGGTGGGGGAGGGACAAGATTTTTTTCAGAAACTACTTCTGGGTACCCTCGATTTTATTGTAATAATTCTCAGATTCCACATTATTTGATATATACTATCGGTTAATCTTGATTGTTTTGTAAGAACTCTTACGTACAATATCATCCGAAATATATTCCGGGATCCTTAAAGTTCGTGGTAGAAATTCTCAGGCACCAAACTCTTAGGTACCCACTTTGAGGAAACATTATCGCAATTTAGATATTAGATTAAAAGTTCTTTTCCTTTGACAAATTAACATGCTAACATTTTAATTCGTGCCTCGGGTCAAAATGCAATATGGACGAACAAGCCTCACCTAGACACCTACATTGCTCTCCGAACTTCTCATGAAATGAAAGAAAGAAGTCACAACTCTCCGAACTTTCAATTCTATATACTACGTTTGAGAATTTTCATTAACAAATTTTTAATGCTAAAATATATTTATTTTACTTTGTTTTTATGTTTGTAATGTTAAGATCGAATCGCATTAGAAATAAATTTTTATAAATCCTTGCATCGCACGGGTTAGAATACTAGTATAGTTTATAAAGAAGTGTCCCAAAACTTATAACATTGCATATCGACTACGGTCCTTACTGTACACTACCTTATTTTGGGCAATTTTAATAAAATTTGTAATCTTTTAATTTTTGTATCATTTATGTTATTCTAAGCAAATACTAAATATAAATAATTTTACAGCCTGTGCATCGCACGGGTATGAATCTAGTATTATGAATGATGAATGCTTGGATTGAACATTATGTGCATGATATCAAATGATTTGATTAGGAATTGAGATTCAATTTATATGGATGTTCGACGCACTAGATATGCTTACTCAGCTTCAACGTTGAGCGTGTAGTATGTTTTATGTGCTACACGCAGGGTAATAGAAAGAATGATGGGACGTGATCCTGGAGGCAAACGGAGGCAAGATTGTCGAAATGGATGTGATGGTTTGAAATGAATGACATAAATAAATTATATTTTGTGATTATGATTTATTAAGTTTCCGCAATATTGAAAACCCCGTACTGTTTATGTTATGAAAAATATTATTGTGATAAATAAAAATGTTTGAAATGTTTTAAATTTTATGATTACCAAGTTTATACTTTAGTCCGAAAGGGGTACGTTGCAGACATGGACGGATTAGAGTATTAGAATAAATTTTTTTAGTTTAGACTTACGTGTAAAAAATTATGTACAAAATAGATGTTTTGGTTCAATAAATAAATATAAAGATTTTAATCATAAAATAATAAAACTAATTTCTAATTCCTAATTCTACTCATATGTGGAGACCAAAACCCAAACCCCTTCCCCTCTATCATAATATACACATGAAGAGAAATATAGTGGCAGACCTGAGAGCCGAACGCCATACTACGCAACAACAACAAAGCCGCTGCTCTGCCACCGTGACGCCGCCATAGTTGCCAAAAAACCCGCCACTGAGTTACTGCTGCTCATCAAGCGTTGTTTTGTTGATTTATTTGTTTATTACGTCAAAATAATTGAGGTGGGTTCGTGGATTTGTTCTAGTGTAGAATTCATAGATAGCAATAATTCGTATACATAGCCAATTGGATATTGGTTTATGTGAAATTTGTATGTGATTGTCTAATTGTGATTAAATTAAACTAATTGGTGAATTGATGATGAAGATATCATATATGTTTTCCTTACTCAAATTGCTTTTGTTTATGTGCTTGTAGTCTCAATAGAAGTTGTTTAAGTATAATTATTCAATCTGAAGCTGAGCTCTGAACCTGTATGCAATTTTAGACATCAGACGGTAGTAGTTCTGTACCGTCTAAAGGTAACCAGCTACCGCCACAGAGGAAATCACGGCCGACCAATGCAGCTAGACAATACTAAGGTATTGTGATGCGGCACCAAGGTACCATACTAGGCACTGTGGGGTCTCTTTTGCTTGTTTGGAATTCCGATTAAGTCATGGATTGATTCCAAGACCTTGTTTGCTGCATGACGGTAAGGGGGAGGTGTTTACACCCGGCACTAGACTGCTATTTGTATTAAATGATGATATATCTTATTATCATTATCATTCTTATTGTAATTAAGTATAATCTTGATATGCTTAGAACAACTAAAGTAAACTGAGATTGTTGTGGGTATAAACTTGAATATGTAGAGATATTGTAATAAACAATTACGCTACTAGGAGAAACTTTAGGACTTCTCTAGTGTGATTGTAAGTGTTAGGTGTTGTTTGTTTTTTTGCAGAAAAAGGTTTGTAGTCTACAGACCATATCTGCACACATCTGTAGGAGAAGATGTGGACCAAAAGTTTGTAGTCTGCAAGAGGAAGACTGTTTATTTTTTAACTTCTGCAGATTACTTAAATAAACTGAAATTTAAAATAAACAGATTTTTAAAGCAATCAATATTTTTTAAACATTTAAATTTAAATAAGAGTTCTACAACACTGAAATAACAACAATAACATTTTTTAACTCATCCATTGTATTTGGCTTTTAGATTGTCATACGCATTTCTCATCTGTTTTTGACTAAAATCAAACCCAAACTTTTCCTTAAGAACTCTTCCTAACTTATTTTATGGCTCTTTGTGCAAACTCAACCCTTTTCTACCCAAACGTGTTTACCTCTTCAATGCAAGTCTCTAATAAGCATTTTATTTGCTCATTTGACCAGCGTTGTTTCTCTCCCATTTCTGTTAATTAACAAACAAGGAGCAACAATATGAACTATTACAACAATCATTAGCAACGATTAACAACAAATCTAAATACAACAACAATAATCAACAAGAATTAACAATAAATCTGAACTATAACAACAATAATCAACAAGAATAATCAACAACATGAACTACTACAACAATTTTTAGCAACAATTAACAAAAAATATGAACTTCAACAACAATAATCAACAAGAATTAACAACAATAATCAACAACATGAACTACTACAACAATCTTTAGCAACAATTAACAACAAATTGTTGACTATTGTATTAAAAAAGAGATTAAAAAAATGTAAAAAAAACATTGTACAAATTGTTGCCGATAGGGATGAGAATGTAAAAAAACATTGACTATTGTACAAAATGTTAACAACAAAAAAATGTAAAAAAAAATTGTTAAAAAAAAGATATTAAAAAAAAAGTAAAAAAAAAACTTGTTACTGCAGGGATGAGAGTTGGGCCATCCTTGCCCCAACTCTAGACGTTGTGGATGAAATAGATGAATACATGACATCATTAAACAATGCTGGAGAAGCAAAAAGCTACTTGAGCTCTGATGCGGTGTGTATGTCTGATTCAAATGTAGATTTCTTAACATACTTACATTCTCCTAAATTCTAAATAACATACTAGCATCGGGTGTGCCAAATCATGAATCGACGTTAAAGGTCGGATCACCCATCATGGAACAAGGTTGATAGTTACTTGACTCGGCAATCATCTTATTCAAGAGACGGTGCTGACAGAGGAAAATATTGGTTAAGAAGTTGTTATCCCACAATTGTTGCTTACACTATCAGATACGGGAATTCCTTGTAAGTTTCAAAGGAAACAATTTTCAATTATGATTTCATATGCAATGACGATTAATAAAAGTCAAAGTCAATTTTTGTCGCATGTGGGGCTTTTACATACTCAAGAAGTCCATGACTAACTTTATGCGGCAATTTCACGTGTCAGAAATTGCAAATGGTTAAAAATATTGATCTGCAATGAAGACATGACCTCGTCGAACTACTACAAATGTAGTTTATAAAAAAATTTCAAAAAATTTATGTTTTCCTTGATTATTTAGTGTATAATTTGTCCGTGCAAATTAAGAAAATGGAGATGAGAAAAAATGAAAATGAAAAATGGAGATAGTTAGATTGGAAATGGAGAAAAGAAAAAAATGAAAAATGAAAAAAAGGCCGGAGGGGAAAAGGATACCCACCCACCCAACCAAACAAACAAAATCCAGCTCCGCATAGATGACACTCTCAAAATGGTGGAATCCCAAACCCTCTGATTCTTCAACGGTGTTGTTTCTTAAAGCAAGGGAAGTTACAGTGATCGAGAAAGCTCATCCTTTTTCCAGATAAAGCAAATGCTGAAGCTCTCACGGAACCTCTTTTTATTTCACACTCTACTCCAACCAAATCAAATCGATATCTCTGTTCTCTCTTTCTCTTTCTGTGTCTCTGTGTGTTTGTAATCTGATTGATTGATTGATTTCACCTGAATCTTTATAGGGCGGTCCGGAAATGTCCGACGGGCTGCCCAAGCTCCGGCAGCACCCGCGCCCGCCGCCGCCTCATCGCCGCCGGTCGTGGTGTTGCTCTTTCGCGGTGCCGCCTCACAGCCCGGATAACCTCATTTCCGCTGCTCGCTCCGCCTCCAACAAGGCCCCGTCTGCTCAGAAGAACGCGCTGAGCTTCGTTTCCTTCCCAAACTCGCCTCCTTCTCAGAGCAGCTCCAAGACCAACGGCGTCGCCAACCGGATCGTGCCGCGCAGGATCCGCTCCCCGGGTCGGGTCTCGCCTATAGATTCTCTGGACGAAAATCCGGCTCCCAATCCTACCCTCCACCCGTACTCCCCCTCACCCTCCTCTCTCCAGATTGCTAAATCCCCTCTACGTCGCCTGGAGTGTGAGGTGTGGTGTTCATCCTTGAGGGAGGATGAGGATTTGGGGATCTTCGACGCAAGGCTGAGTCTGAAAGGGCAGAATGGGGCCAGATGTGTGCTGGAGCTGAATTCGGAGGTTCTTGTTGCCAACAGCTCTGTTTTTGCAGATTTGGTGGCGGATTACCGGAGAAAATCGAAGGGTTTGTGTAGGCTAGAGGTCCTCAATGTGGATAATTTGGGCATTTTTCGGGAGACGGTTGAGCTCATGTTTGAGGAAGATATCCCCAAAAGACTCTTAAAGGCCGGGGTTTATCACACCATTGATATGCTGGAGGTGATCACATTTTCCTATTCTCCTTTTAGTAAAATTTGATTCAACATCTTCTGCAGCAAAATCCATTATGGATATTGTACATAAGTTGTCAGGGCTTTGATGAGATAAAGACTAAAATTTGGCACTCTCTTTTCTTTTGTTTGCACTTTTTTATTAGGTATCAGCAGGCCTGAAGTTTGCAAGGGGCGTTCAGTCATGCCTAGAGTACATTGAGGCCATGCCATGGAATGAAGAAGAAGAGGGGAAACTTAGGAGCTTGTTTAGTAAACTCAAGTTTGAGGGTGAAACAGCTGGAGACATTATGGCCAGACTCTACGTGCAAGACTCACCGGAGTGTGAGCAAAAGCTGGCCAGGAGTCTTGTTTTGTCGGTGACCAGCTGTAGTGATGTGAATGCCAGAAACGAGCTGAAACCTTTAGTAAAAGATTTATTGTGCAAAAGCTCAGTCCATGAGAAGGAACGTCCTCAACTGAACAGAGAAGATATATTTGGTGTTTGCAGGTCTTGCCTGGGTTCCCTGGTCACTCTTCTCGAGGAGGCTACTAGCACTGGCCCATCTCGGAAGGATAGGCCAGTAATTGGGAGAATTTCAAACCAGGTGGACAACATGAATTGGCTGCTTGATATTTTGCTTGATCATCACATGGCAGAGGACTTGGTCGACATGTGGACCCACCAAGTGAGATTGCTCCACTTGCACAAGTGTGCATCGCCGATGATTAGGTACGAGCTCAGCCGGGTTTCGGCTAAGTTGTTTGTTGCGATTGGCACCAGAAAGATGCACTGTCGGCCGGAAGCAAGGGTGGGGCTAATGCAGGCGTGGTTCAGACCGATGCTGTTGGACTTTGGGTGGTTGCAAAGGTGTAAAAAGGGACTGGACATGAAGGAGGTGGAGGAAGCCATGGGACAATCACTTCTGACACTTCCTTTGAAGGAGCAGTACGCGATGTTCATGGAATGGTTCCAATGTTTCTCCAAGAATGGAACCGAATGCCCTAACCTTAGTAAGGCATTCCAGATTTGGTGGAGGAGGTCGTTCCTCAATGGCTCTGAATCTCGCGGTGTTGAGTGTAGGTAATCAAGAATACACACTCTTTTTTGTTGTTGTTTGGGTATTAGTGTTGAAAATCAGTAACTTAGTATGGCCCTTCTGAATTCATTGTTTTAGTGAGTGAACACATTCTGATTATTGAGAAGGGGAGATTCATACTTGCTCACCCGGTCTTGAATTGGATTTTCGTTTTCTCATGCTTAAGGATTTCTCTTTTCTCATTCACTACCTTAGTTCTATTACTGTATATGTATGTATTTCCTATCAAATAACTTGGCTACCTGACTGCCATGTTGCTTTTTTATTAATGTGGATTCATCTCAGTAGGAGGTGTTTTTACTTTCAGCTTTGTAACTGCCAATTCAAATCATTGGTTTGTAGTTTAGTAGTTTGTGCACACTCCATTTGTTTTTTATTTACTACTGTACAATACTCTCGAACCTTAGAAACAGTTGACCATAAGAGATAAGAAGCCACATTAATTTCACCCTGATAAAAATGATGAAGAACACAATAGACCGGCTGATGATTTCTTCTTTTGAAATCGTTTTCGGGTGTGATACATCATCATCATACATGCTCGTAATAAGAGATTACAAGATGCATATAGAGAAATACTGTATTAGTTTAGTATTGACTTGCTCTCTCACTTGTGCTTCTTGCCCCCAGCAAGGATACGCTGGATCTGAAGGCCTCGGCTGAAGGCTTGGTTGTAAAGCAGCCTGGTTTGGAACTCTGACACAAAGGGGAACCATGCTAGAACAGCAACGGGTGTGAAGATAGTGAGGCCCATTATGTAGTCGTACCCTCTCCCCAGAGCCTTGACAGACCCCCACATCCCCACCCACTTCACTATCGGCCTGCACGCCTGGGCTATCTGTAAGATGGCCCACCCTGTCGGCAGGAATGCCAGTAAGCTCGCAAATACATCTCCCACCGTCAGGCTCAAGAACGCAAACAAGATCACCAGTGTCACTACGAACCCAATGAAGAGGAACAACTTCAGTAGCCTGAACATCAGCTGGAAATCTGCACTGAACTTCTTCCTGCCCATCGACACTATCTGTGCTCCCACCCATGCCACATATACTTGTTAGGAGATGACATACAAAAAGAACCTTCATGTACTGAAGAGAGAGATTAAGACATTCAACAGCTCATATACGAATCACTAACCTTCAATATGATCATGACTGCAACAATTACTAGCCAAGACAGACCGTACACCTGCAGCGAAGCAAAAGAAGATCATCATTAGAAATTATTCACCAAATAGGTGGTGCATTAACTAGTTACTATTTATGATAGGGGATAAACAATGGTATTTTTGGTATGATAAATCAAGTTGTACTTGATAAGTTGATATTCAAAACTTGTGTGGTGTCCTTAGTAGGCGTGATTTGGATGATAAAGTTGACAGTTGAATGGGTTTGAGTGGAGGGAGCAGTAATCTAGAGAAAAAGAAAATAAAAAAAAGTGTTTGATTAATTTTACCATGATGCTCTTATTGTTGTTGGCAACATGCAGCTGATAAACAATGCCATACTGGAAAAGTAAGAAGCGGAAAGAGAGAATAACTTCACAGAGACGGCCAAACAGTCCAGTATAAAGTAGATGCTCTTGTTCCTCCTCCCACCAAGACTCCCAACTTTTGGCTGCAGGAACACCAATCCCACCTCGGTTACTGATCCACTTAGACCAGTCATCCCAGTCGTCCACTATCTTTTGCCATTCAAATCCAGATGGATTGAAAATGAAGGGAGCGAACAGCCATGAAAGTACGAGAAACCACATTGGGAAAGTGAGCAACAAGGTAGACACAGAGTCTGAGGTTGCCGTGCCGTACATTACATAAGATGTGAGTAAAATCAATATTTCCAGACCCTTAGTGAAATGGCTCCTCGAGTACAGTCTGTAGTTTTCAGCAAACCTCTCATGGCGCACCACAAAACCCCGTCCAGTTGCTCTGTATTTTGCTCCACCATGCAAAATGGTGCGACCAAAGTAATGAAGTTTTGTTCCCAGAGAAAAGGTGAAGAACACAGCTGCTAGTTGAAGCTGCATGATGATCATATCACCTAGAGCCGTTCTGAACCCTCTTTCTAGTCCTATCTCCATTATCATCGGCAATGCCATTAATAGACCAAGTTGAACCACTGATTGGGAAGCCATCGCAGCTTTAAGAGCAACATCTCCCTTTGATCTTGCAAATTTAACTATTGACTTTTCCAGTCCACTCAATGAAAGATACAGTTTTCCGTACAAAAATGCATAAACTGTAAGCACCACAATCTGCAACATTAGAAGAAGAAGAAAAAAATTCATCATCGCCAAAAAAAAAAAGAAATACTGCGAAAGACGTTTGAGGAAGTAGAATAATCAAGCAAGCAGCATTATTCTCAATTTTGTAAATTATAGAGCACACACATGTACGCTTCACTCGTAAATCTTTAAATTAGATGAATGGATGATAAATGCAGTTTGAAGTGAAAGGACATATATGCTAAAATCAACTTGTAAATAATGTTTAGGACAAGCATTATTGTTTCATTTGGCCAGTCAGCCTCTCTTTTCTGATTTCAATAGCAATCTCACTCAAAGCCCACGAAGTTAAGAAGGTACCAACTAGCAATGGTTAATGAAAAGGGAAGACAATCAATTACCATTGAACTGACATAAAAGCCAGTGGTTGTAAAATAACAAGATAGCATTCGGAAAAAGTCAAAACGATGCCCTAATCTGTAGAGGTCGCGGCTGAGTGTCTGCTCTCCGTTACCACATGCTACTTTTGCCTCAAAAAGAGATATTTGGTTAAGACCAACATCTCGTCCCTTCCCAACCTGAATATATTCGTGGTGGGTAACATTTCCACGTCTTAATGTGGAGTTAAAACCTATTGAATGAAACAGTATGCACGTGAGAAACTTCTGTGGTTTTATAAGCACCACCAAACATAATTAATTTACTACCTGCAAAAATGTCCTCACTAAGGTTGATGCCTTTGGAAGATTTACTGATCCCACCGCGGGTAATGTGGAAAATTCTATCGAAGACATCTGGGTGCCCATAGTGGAACCGAACCCTAAGTCCCACAAATGAAGAAAATGGGAGTATAAATCATTAGCAGCAATATGTGACAATTTTTTTGATAAATCTTATAGGCGACGGAAGATAAATTACTCTTCTAGCAATTCAAATTTGCTTTTCCGTAATGAAAAGTGAATTCAAACCCATAGAGATGTTAGCCATGTAAAAGGTATAGAATATGACAACAACAAAATAAGCAAATGCATTGCTAGAAAGACAAGCTGACAATCTCTTGCCCCCCAATAACCTTATGCCTGCTACTTTGTATTTTATTGATTAAAACAATATCCATGTATCTGATAGTCGCATGGATACCACGTTAATATACAAGTTGGCACGCTTTGATGATACAAATAAATAAATTTGCAGTTACAGTAAAAATGGAACTTACTTCAAAGGCCTTGCAAGAACTCTCTGACCAATAGTAACAAAGCTTGTCTCTTGCATTGACATAAACCAAGCCAAAGAAGAAACACTGCAGTTTAAAGGCATTGATGGTTCATCAGGCAAAAATATACAGAGCATAATAGACCGGAATTTGGTTTGAGACAAAACTCAAGGCAGAAATTCGCCAACCTTCCAGTGAAGATGTGCTCTCGGACACCCAAAATTGTAGGTGGTCGCACACCGTGATCTTCATTGAACTCTTCAAGAAGGTTACGCATCTTAAAAGCTTCTTCCAAGTAATTATCCTAAAAAAGGAAGAAGCAAAGAACATTTTACTACTGTAGGACTACAAAGTGCTGTTTTTATTGGTGTGCCTTTACTTGCAATTTGGTGCTTACTGAAGACTAAGACACCAAACAGTATCCATTTTATGTTAAAAATCAAGTGAATTTCAATATTACCTGATTCATGTCAATGGTTTGAAGGGCCTCGCCGCGAGAAAAGATGATAGCATGATTTTGATTTTCCGGTTTTCCTTCTCCTATCTTTGCAGATCCGGGTAATTTTATGCGGTAGATTTCCTTCAATCAGAAATTTTAAAAAATGGACATATATCAGAAGCCATATAAAATAAATCAATAGATCAAAACTTTGATAGGACAAGAACAACCACTACCTGGTCTAGATTATCAACTGCTTTTACCAAAACAGAATAATAAACCTTCTGAATCTTTCCACCAACCCTTTCTTCAACTTCATCAATGTAAGCTACACGGAGAGAAGGATTGCTGTGACAAAGAAAATATCATGGAACAATCAACTAAGGCCTTTGACCGAAATATATACCGAGAAATTTATAGTTTATCGTCGAGAAACGTACTTGACCAGCAAGTTCAATATATCAGTTGCACGGCGATCTCCACTTCTTTTCTGATTCCCATAGTTCTGGCATGTGGCAACATATGTGAACTTCATGTCAGCAACAGCTTCCAATGATGCATGTAATGATCTTTGACTTTTCTTATCTTCTTCTGATGGTACTGTTACAGCTTTGTAACCTCCAAGAATCTCTGTCCATTCAAAGAACACATTCACAATACAGGGAAATGACCAAAAATAAGAAACAGGAGATCACTCTATGTCCATGAATATTTATGCAAAATACCGTGAAACAAAAATCACAAATGTGGTATTACACTTGGAATGTCTGTATCTCCCCACTTCCATCACTACTTTTGGAGCAACCTCAGAATATTAAAAGGCATGGCATAAAACTATGATAGAGCACTAAATAAATGCTCTCTGTGAGATATCTTTCTTTTTCTTTTTAATTTTTGTTTCTTCATATTTTTCTAATTTGGAAATAAAACTATCGTTTTGTCATGCTACCTGATTTAGTGATTTACA